TAATGTTGTGTATGCTGTTCAGTGTCAGGAGGGCTGTGATCAGTCTTACATCGGGGAAACAAAACAGCCACTGGCCAAAAGGATGGCCCAGCACAGAAGATCAACATCATCAGGCCAGGACTCTGCAGTCTACACTCATCTCCAGGCCAGCGGTCACTCTTTCAGGGATGAAGATGTGCACATCCTGGATAGAGAGGAATGATGGTTTGAGAGAAGAGTAAAGGAGGCCATCTTTGTGAAAAGAAATCGTCCATCGTTAAACAGGGGTGGAGGCCTACGTGTTCAATTGTACCCCTCCTACAATGCTGTTATTGCTAGTATCACTCAGCCCTCTGTGAATAGTAGACAGCCATCAGTGTGCTAATGATCCATTGTTAGGCTGATGGTCCTTCTTGAGCATGTGATCAGCTGGTTTTGGTTGTCAGCAGCAAAACTGGTTGATCCACTCTGAGAAGGTGCTATTTAAGAGACTGAGCTGAATACAGCACCTCAGACTGAGGAAGTCTCTCGGATGAGAGACGAAACGTTTCTACATTTTTTTGTTGTTTTGCTTTGTTTTGTTTTTTTGAATGTCCAGAGGACCAGATTTAACTTTTTTTAGACTGACTACAGATTATTTTAAATGTTTGTATGAGTACAGATTTGCTGCTTTATAACCCAAAAACTGCACTTTGACGTCAAAAAAGAAAAGCTTTTTCATTACATTTTAGAAAATATAAATGTGTTTCATATCAGCAACTATACATGCCTTACCAAAGATGAATAATAAACTATTTTAAAAATCGTCAGTTCAGGGACAGCCAACTGGCCCCACAAGTCTAGCTAACCAATAGATAAATAAGACAATTAGAGAGCCCATTGGTCACATGATATTGTGACTCACTGGAGGGAAGGGAGCCAAAGCCAGAGAGGGCAAGCATCTGGACTTAGCATTGTTGTAGATCAGGGGTGCCCGATACGGCGATCGCGATCTACCGGTAGATCGCGAAGGTAATATCAATAGATCGCACAGCAAAATAGATGTCAGACTTTTAAAAAAATGTCTTTAAAATTTTTTTTACTTTAAAGACGTCAGCCGATCAATTTATTTTCACTATGCAAATCATCATTTGATTGACATACAGGTTAGCCAATCTGAGACTGACCTTTTCTGACACATAGGTCACTACGAATGCTCAAACAACCGCACCCATGATTGACACACAGGGCAGCCAATGAGACCTGATCTTTTCTGACGCATAGGTCACCACGCATACGCATTCAACCATGCTAAAAACAAACAAATTGACTCGTAATAGCCTCCAGTGTATATCTAAACTCAAGAAAGTGTATATAATGAGTTGGGGAGCTGGACCAAGTAAACAAAAAAATCTACCATTTCCATATGGAATTGGGGGAGGACTTTTTTTCACAATGTTATATTCGAAGTACGTTTCACTGGAGCGGCATATTCGGACTATCATAAATACTATGTCAATGACTTCCTTCTGAAATGTGAGCAGAGAAAAAAACAACAACGAAGGAACTAAAATCCCAGTTTTCTGGACAGCGGTTATTTTTCTTCCAGCTGATCAGCAACGAAGCATCAGTCTGGGTGAGTCACTTTAATAATTGTTAAGCACAAGAAGTCTTTTCAAGATGGAGTGATGTTATTCCATGCAGCTTTGGCTGAGTAGTTAGAGCAGTCATCTTCCAATGCAAGAGTTGGGGGTTCGAATCCACCAGCAGTCACATACTGAAGTGTCCCTGTGCAAGACAGTGAAACGATGTGTGTCCCATCGGTGTTTGAATGTGATGAAGCACTAATTAGTCTCTTTAGAATGATTTGTTGAATTAGCTTTGTAGAGATCTAGTAGAGTGCTGTATGAATGGGTAAATGAGGACACAGATTGTTGTAAACAGCTTTGAGTATCTCGATAAGATAGAAAGGCGCCATATAAGTACAGTCCATTTATTCGTTGAAGCAGCTGACTTGTTGTTCAGAGACATTAAAAACAAACCAGAAATATTATCTTCCATCAAAGATCTCCAGGTATCACGAAGTACGGTTATAGTTAAAAGCAGCTGCTGTCAAGACTGAATTTTCACTTTTGTTCTCAAGTTCTCAGGTAATTTTTCAAACATTAAGTTATTTTTGTTGTTTTCTGTTCCTCTATGTGAAGTGTAGTGAGCTAGCTGTTAGCTTCACTACTAATTAATTATTCTTAAAGCTAGTTCAAGCACAAAGAATATTAATTGTTTAATTACAACGGATTCTTTCTTTTTCGAGTTAAATTTCTGCCATGTGACCAAGATAACTTGTGGAGTGGAGTGGTAATTAGTGACATGAGGCATAATTTATCTTTGTCCTCCCTTCACTGGCTCCCTGTTCCTACGAGGATAGTTTTTAAAATTCTTCTATTGACCTTCAAATGCCTAAATGGCCTCGCACCCCATTACCTCTCTGAGCTTCTGGAACCTTACGTTCCCTCTCGGGCCCTGAGATCATCTGATCAGCTGCTTTTGGCTGTTCCAAAAACAAGACTGAAGCTCAGAGGAGATCAGGCTTTTTCAGTCATGGGCCCCAAACTATAGAACAACCTGCCCCCCAACATCAGGCAGGCCACCTCCCTTCCTCACTTCAAATCCCTGCTAAAACACATCTGTTCTCTCAGGCATTTCATACAGTGTAAATTGATCTAGTGTTTTTTAATCTGTGACCTTATGTTTTAAATGCTTTTTATTAATTCTTCAGTTATTATCATTATTAGTGTATTGTATATATATGTTTATATATTTTTCTCTTTAATTTACTCATTGATTGTTGTTGTTGTTGTTAAGCACTTTGATAACAGGTTCTGTTTTAAATGTGCTCTATAAATAAAGTTGACTTGACTTGTCTTGACTTTGACCCATCAGAATAAATGCTGTCATTTATTTAACAGAATCAAAATTTAACATCAAAACATGTACACTTGATTTGCTGATCTGTTTTTGATTAATAAAACTTAGCAAGTTCAAATAACAAGACAACAGAGGATTATTGATGGAGAATAATTAATCTCTGAATGTCACGATCCTCGAGGTTGGAACCCAAATGCAGGGAGGCGAGGCGAGGCAGGAGTTCAAAATAAAAATAATTTATTTTTAAATGACAAAACAAAAGGCTGTCGGTGCAGCAAAACCTTACTTTGGCAGACAGGATCAGGAACTAGGCAGAGCAGATCATCAGATGGACAAAAAACTGACAGGACAGAGGAGGACTGAGACATCTGTGAACACAGAACAGAAACCACACAAAGAGCAGAGGCTTAGGCAGATGGGGGGGCAGCGGGGGCCGCTGACCGTGACACTGAAGGCATCTAGCTTGATTTACTGGCGAATAGAAGTTTAAAGAGAAGGAGTAAAGAGGTTTAAAGATTTAAAGAGGATGTTTAGATGGATGAAGGAACATGTGTTGACCAGAAAATGGCACCCTTCCTCCGACGCCAGCTCAGCCCGCGGTACACTCAGGGCGTGCAACGACTTGTTACCTGAGGTGGTGGATACATCAGCTCCGGAACAGAGGTCCATTGGCACGCTACCTTTTCAGCGTCTCCGGTCAGGGTGGCTGAGAATCTTTAGAAGTAGTTCCATATGCTCCGATCAACAGAATAAGCTTCCTTAGAAGTTGAGAGCATGTAATGCTCGGGGTGAGTCACAGCGAGGCAGCTGGGACTCCGCTGAAATGGAGGGACCCTTGGCACATGGTCCAATCCATCAGCTATTTAGTTCAGCTGTAAGACTCCATCAGACTGAGTCTCATCTTCGATTGAAAGTTCCAGGAAGACTGGAAAGACTCGGAAGACTGGAAGACTGAATAGTTCCAAGAAGTGTTGACTTTTTAAATGGTATCCACTTCCTGTCACTTGGTACTTCCTGATTGGTTGAAACAACCAGCAGGGGTGTAGTTTTAGTGATGTCAGAGGGTTATTAGAAGTCAGCAGACAGCAGAAATGTTTTAAGAATGGTTAGTACAGACAGAAAAACATTTTGAAGAAGTGAGAGACAGCAGGTGCCAGCCAGTTCTCATTTACTGTCTGAGAGTTTTAAAAACAAGGCACTTCGTTCTCATAACTTGTCTCTGACTTTCGACCTCAAATCCACTACTCCTCATTCAGACCGAAGACTAAAATGCACACTTACTTCGTAAATAGACATTTAACTTGTATGATTGATGAAGTCTAATGAGGTTTAAAAATCATTAATACTGTTTCACAGTAGATTTAAATGAGTGGTTCACATCAACATTAGAAATGGTATGAAATAAACACACTTTTGATTATCAAGATATTATAAAATAGTAATGATAATATAAAAAGAAGAGTGTCCTTTCAATTGATTAATTCAGGATACAATTAAATAGTCTCTTGATGAGATAATTTGTATTTCTGGATTCAAATCAATGAAATAACAGTTCCTGTCCCCTGAAGGTCTTCAGAGACAGATTGATGTCGGAGGTCTAGTTCACTACAGAAGAACTGAAGTTATTGTTGGGTTTTGTTTATTATTTTGTACGCAGACAGTAAAAATAAATTGTCACTTTTTTTAAACAAATTTTTGGGGTTTGTCATTTATGTTGCATCCACAGTGAGCTGGGACTTATTCATTCATTCAACCTTTATTTATACAGGTTAGTCTCACTGAGTCACAAGGACTCATTTACAAGAGCGACCTGTTTTAAACAGACAACATATAAAGTACAGTCAATAAACTACAGTAAAATGAAATTAAAATAAAAGTAGTATTATAAAACAATAAATCAAGGTGTCATATAAAACATGGTAAAATACATAAAACATAAAAAGCATACTTAATATGTTTATAAATAAATATATGTTTTGTATTTTTATAGTAGGTAGATTACTTGGACTTGATCATTTTAAAAGTACCTTGCATGCTGAAAAAGTGTGGGCACCCCTGTTGTAGATATTGGTGAAAACCACCTAAACCTAACCCTAAACCTAACCAACAGTAAGGGCTGATTATGTAAAAATAACTAACATTATTAATGATAATATTATTGAAAATACTATTAATACAATATTAAAATGTATATAAGCTATCTAATATATATAAAAAAATTTAAAATGCCACAAAGCTGTGTTTACTATGGTTTTACCAACCAAAGAGAAAAAGGAAAATGTCTCAGTTCAAAAGTAACCAGATATAAGCTTATTTAACTCAACGTGAATGTGATCTGACCATAATTTAAGCTAATAATGTAACAGTTTAAAATTAAAATGACCCTTTAAAGCCGATGTAATTGCTGTTAATTATTGAACTGGCTTAGAGCTATTAGCTTCTCTGGCAAATATTGTTATTTGGCTTGGTGCCTTTGCTTCCTGCCAGACGGATTAAAATGGCAGAAACTAGTTTGAGGGGTCGAGTTCTGAGAATATATTTTTTCCTGCATGACAGCAGTAGGTTCTTTCGGCTCCCCAGGAAACAATTAGCAAGTATCTGATGAAATGATTGCGTAATCACATTTTGTTTTTAAGTAAGATCATAATTTATAGCTAGTATATCACCATTATTTTATATTATCATATTATCACAGTGTAGCACATAACATAAAACCATGCATATGGTTCATTTAATCTTACCGTTGTTCATGTATCACTTTGTTTATCATAAAATTTGATGGCATTAGTTTATTGGAAGAATTTCCTCAAACAGGGAGGATTGAAGTGGAAAAGTTTTATGTTTATTGGAAAGGTTTCAGAGATGTGTGTGTAGCAATTGCCTAATAAAGAAACAATTGGGTGGTCATCCACTCAGTTCAGAAATTTATTTTTTGGGAGGTCCAACGCCTGATGTCTAGGCGAACTGCCAAGTTGGTCTTTTGAGAAAAACGTGGTGAGTTAAAGGAGGAAAACAACTTGTATAAGACTCTTATGTAAGCATAAGGTATAAAGAACATTTCTGAGGATCTAGGGTGTTTTTTTTTTCTATCTTCTGTGTCTGGATGTTCAGGTTTGTTTTTTACCTGCACCTCTACAATAAACCCTGATTTTGCTGTCATTGCAACCTAAAAGTGTTTTCATCTTTTTTACATAGTGATTAAAGCTAAATCTAACAGCCACAACAGGAGTTGTTAAAAATTTGAAAACAGTACTGTTTCTTTCTATGCTACAAAGTTAATTTGTTATCAATCTGTTTGTTTTTTGTGAAAAAAATTTGTAATTCCAGGCTTGAATTTCAGCTTTGAATTGAGAGTATTAGGAATATTTTTTTAGATAATTGTTTCAATTTTGTTTTTTGCAGTCAAAGGAACATCACCAACTCTTAATGTCCTCACAGACCAGAAAGTCCTCACATATCAGAAACTGAAGAGAACTTGTGCATGTACAGTATTAGTGATTTTGTGAGAGGACAAGAGCCTCTGAAAACCTATCAGGTTTAAAAACTTGTATTGGGTTTAAACCTTTATTCTGAGACCTTAAAGACACACTGAGACTTAATCAAACCAACACCAAAACCTTTACCTTCAAAGTGTACTTCTGCTTGGAGTTAGATGGAGACACAATCACCCAAATTGTTACAATAAGTCGACCTACAAAAAGACAAGTACTCAGATTAAGACAGGTAAAGAAAGACAAGTACAAGTTCAGGTGTGACTTAATACCCAGCAGGTTAGCAGGGTCAGTACCTTTGTCTAGTTTGCTATATATGTGCTGTGGCAAATGTGGACTGGACTCAACGTTGGGGGGGTAAACGTAGAGTGCCTGGCTGTGGGCCCCACCTCCCTCCCTCTCTTCCACAGCCTCTCTGCATACACTCAGTATGGAGCGGCGGAAGTCCTGGACCTCCGGGTCCTTCAACATCTCAAATTCAAAGACTGGCATCCCGATAGCGAAGCCTATGAGATAGGCAGAGCAAGTCTGAAGGAGGGTTTGTATTGAGGAATGAAGTCTGAGAAAAAGGGGCAGATCTTACCAATCTCTCTGTTTAATATCTTCTCCTCACGGTTTCCCACTGGCTCAATGACCTTCAGGATTGGGTGAAACAGTCGCAGATCGCACAGACGCCGTGTCTCATCATAAAATTCTTCCCTCTCGGCTTCCTGGGTCACTCCAACAAAAATGTAGGATGACTCCTCCTAACCAGTCAAAAATCAGACTTTAGAGTTACAGTCAGACAAGTAAAGGTATCAAGGTCATGGCTGGGAACAGCGTACCTGCAGCAGGTGGTAGAGCGGGTACTTCCTGGCTTCCATGAAGAGCTGCTGCTTGATGCTGATGAGGGGAGTTTCTCTGAGGCATTCCAAACTCACCATCATCCCTGACAGACAAACACAGGTAGCACACAAGTGAAATAGCACAGAGGCTGAAAATACACCCGCAAATCTGAAAAAGTAAGAACATTGTGTAAAATGTAAATGAGAACAGAATACAGCAGCTTAAGCTGAGAGTCCCAGACATCTCTTTCCACAGATGCTCTTCTGGGAGACTCTTGAAGCTTCCCTTGGCCAGTTGATGTATAGTCTTTCCAGAGTGTCTTGGATCGTCCCCAAGATCTCCTCCCAGTTGGACTTGCCCAGAACAGCCTGGGAATGTATCCAGGGGAATCCTTACCAGATGCTCAAATAACCTCAACTGTATCCTTTCCATGTGGAGCAGTAGCAGCTCTATTCCAAGACACTCTCAGATAATTGAACTTCTTACTTTATCTCTAATGGAAAATGCAGCCACCCTGTTGAAAAAAATAATTTTGACCACTTGTATCCGCATTCTTGTTCTTTCGGTTACTATCCAGAGTTCATGACCATAGGTGAGGGTTGGAGGGTAGACCAACCAGTAAACAAAGAGCTTTGTTTTGCAGCTCAGATCCTTCTTCACCACAATGCACAGGTACAGAGCGTATAATACTGTGGAAGCATGGGAGACCGTGATGAAGTGAAGATTCAACACGAGCTGCTGGCTTCCTTAAATATTTATTTTTCTTCTTTCAGCTGTTCCCTTTGTCAGGGGTCACAACAGCGAACTAACTCGCACAAAGACTTGGCAATTTCTTTTACGCCGGATGTCCTTCTTGATGTAACCACAAACCATCGAGCTACCACAGCCCTCTGTGCGGAGCAGAGAGCTGCTGTCTAGGGCGCTCGGGGGAGCAGATGGTGTTGGTTAAGGGCCTTGCTCAAGGGCCCAGAGTGGGGCAAATGAGGGTGGAGACAAGTGCAGGTGCTTCACCAATCCCACCCACATTTTGATGTTGTCGGTACCCAAGTTGAACCAGCAATCTTCAGTTCACAGACCCACCTGCGCGACCACTCCCCAGGCTTCTTTAGATAGATAACTTTGACTAATTGGGTTTTATAATGTATGTGAATGTTTCTGATCAGTGCCCTGAGATGATGTCTGTTGTGACTTGAGCTTCATAAATTGAATTGAATTGATCTGAATTGAAACCACATGGATACGTCTGTCGATCTTGCACTTCATTTTTCCTTCACTCTTGAACAATGCCCCCAAAATACTTAAAAATTATCCAGTACAGGCAGAACCTCACTCCCAACCTGGATGGAGTAGTCCACCCTTTTCTGACTGAGGACAATGGGCTCAGATTTAGAGGTACTAATCCTCATCTCATATGCTTCACACTTGTTCGTGCTGCTTTTCGACGTATTGTTTTTATGCTATTAATGCTTAGCATATTTTTATTTGATGTTTTTCTTAGTTCATATCATAGATCTTATTATTGTTTTTCTTTTACATTTTATTGTTGGATGTACTAACTGGGACCCTGTGTACATAATTTTGTTCCACCACATGTAACACATGTGGTGCGAACAACAATAAAGAAACTCTGACTCTGACTTGGCTGTGAACCAATCCAATGAGAGCTGGAGATCATGGCTCGATGACATCAACAGGACCACATAATCAACAAATGTCAAAGATGGACTCCTGAGGCCACAGAACTGGACTTCCTTCACCCCATGACTGTACCAAGAAATTCTCTCCATAAAAGTTATGAACAAATTTGGTGACAATGGGCAGCCCTGGTGGACTTCAACTTCCAACCTGAAGGGATCCAACTTATTGCGACTTACTGCCAGCAATGTGAACTGAGCTCTCATACCACATGAATAGGGACTGATGCCCCTGATGCCCCTTTTCCACTGTCACAGCGCGGGTCGGATATTTCCGGCTTGACGCGTATTTGAGGGCTTTTTCATAGTTCTTGGGACCGGCTCACCTCCCTAAATTCTGGCCCGCCTTCTCAAGGGGTCCAAGCGAGCCGTGACGTCAGAAACACTGTCAGTCACTGAATGTTCGAGGGGAGGAGTCTGTGGAGTCTTTCCAAACAACCCGATCTGCCATTTTTCTCTACCGCCATTAGCTATAGCTCGAGGAGCATATCTTTTAGCATTTTGAAGATATACAAAAACAATAATGTCAAAGCCGTGGTCAAATGCAGAAGTGCATGTGTTGTTGTGCTTGGTGGCCGACGAAAAAAGTCAAAGTGAGCTAGATGGAGCGACTGGAGTGTGGTTTGGACATGGCCACTGCTCTACTTGAATCATTTATAGAAGATGGTGAGTGTTTTCTAACTTTAAACATATTTTAAGTTACTCATCCCATCGGTTCTGAACATATTTTTAACTAACAAAAGAGGCTGATGCCATAATAGGACAACATCGGTGCTACGATGCTAAGCTAATTTGCATAAACGCTAACTGTCCTCCGGTCCCGTTTCTCACTGTATTTTATCCAGAACGTATTTCAGCACGTGACGGTTTGTCTCTAAACTCCACATTAAACCCTCCAAGCCTCCCGGCTTCTGCTCCTGCTCCATCAGCAGAGTTTGCACCTGACAGAGCTCCATCACAGCCCAGCTGCACCTCACAGAGCAGCACAACGCTGCAGCCTGTGCTTGTAAGAGCAGATGCAACATGTTCCACATCACTTTATTTGTGCCGATAAGGACTTGTTTTTATTTTATTTTTAAAGTAAAAAAATAAAATGTTGAATAAATACTGAATTGGGATGAAATTATGTACACAGGGTCCCAGTTACAGACAATAAAATGTAAAAGAAAAACAGTAATAAGATTTAAGATATGAATTAAGAAAAATATCAACTAAAAACATCTACTAATAATACATTAAGCACTAATAGCAGTAAACAATCAAAACAATACGTCAAAAAGCAACATGAACTTGACTTTGTGCAGCCTTATGAATATCTAACCATGAATGGCCTGCAGCAACGGACCCCCAATCCCATAGCCACGAAGCACCCCCCACAGTGTAAATAGAGGCATACTGAGTTCCTTCTCCAAGTCAACAAAACACATATAGACTGGCCAGGCAAACTCCCATGCTCCCCTGAGGAGCCTTGCAAAGCTCAGTTTTCCACATCTGGAAAGAAACTGCATTGAACCCAAGCCTTGTCCACCAGTTCTTGTACTATTTTTAAAACGGAGATAATTTTGAATTTTATAGCAGCAAAACAGTTAGGATGAGAGCAACAAAAAGAAAAAAAAAACTGGTATAAATAGGAAAGAGCTGACGGTGCATTTTGTAACTAAATAGGTTAATTGGTAATAGGCCAGTAAGAGGACTGGAAATAAAATGTACATCCTGAGGAGGCTGGCATCCTTTAACATCTGCACAAAACTTCTGCAGATGTTCTATGAGACAGTGGTCACCAGCGTCCTCTTTTATGCAGTGGGGTTGGGGTGGGGGAGCAGCATGAAGGTTAGGAACAGCAACAGTCTGAAAGGTACCAACAGGCAAGCTAGCTCAGTGGTCGACATTCAGCTGGACTCCAAGGTGGCTTTGGTGGAGCGGAGAGTAAGATCCAGACTGAGGGCGATAATGGACAATGGTCACCCTCTCAACCAGACATTCATACAACAGAGTTCATTCAGTGGAAGGCTGAAGTCACTGAACTGCTCCATTGAGAGACTCAGTTGTTTGTTGGGCCATCAGGCTACACAACTCCTCCGTTGGTTTAAATGAAGGGAGGAGGACCGTGCAGACACCTGAGCAAGACTGGTCCTATAGCAACTATTGTTTTTTGATGGACTGTAAGACAATCTACCCAAATCACTCACATCTGTACAGTATTTATTAAGTTTTCTTGGTGCAATGACTGCTTGACAACAAACTCAGGGCAAAAATAACTTTTCTTCTATCTCTTACTGTTTTTAAGTTGCGTTATCAAGGGTTTTGACTACTTTTTTGTTACTTCTTCCTCACCATATTACAGTAGTTTGTTTTGTGTGACTTGAAGCAGCTGGCAACTTTAGCATTTACTTCAGGATAATAAAATTATCTTAAGCTTTGCTGAGAGTGGTGAAGGCTGCACAGAAGTCTGTTGGTCAGCCTCTCCACCATCACAGACATCTACCCATTCTCTCTCTCTCTCTCTCTCTCTCTCTCTCTCTCTCTCTCTCTCTCTCTCTCTCTCTCTCTCTCTCTCTCTCTCTCTCTCTCGTGCGCATGCGTGAGCGTCTGTCACACGGGTGGAGAGTGGAAGTGAACTTCTTGAAGGTTTGATTAGCGGTTTCTTTTACTTCTGAAAGGTGTTTCACATGCTTTTTCTTCTTTTTTAGGTGTGGTACAACTGTTTAAAAGCACTCCGGGTTATAGTGGTGTTTTTTCTGGTTTTCTGTTCGGCAGCGCCGGTTTCGGTGCGATGGCCGGCAGAAACACCGGGTGTGGGAGTTTGTCCCGTCGACACGGCATCAAGATGCCGGTGGGCGTGGATTACTCGGTTGAAGAGTGTGCGTTAGCTGTAGGAGAGGTGGTCGGGTGTGAAAGTGTGAAAGCAGCAGCCAGAATGAATAGTGCTGTGGTTTTGTTTCTGGACTCTATAGATAAAGTTAATATTGTTGTTGAACGTGGGGTAGTTCTGAGAAACGCATACTCTGTCGTGTTTCCCCTCGTGAATCCAGCAAAAAAAATCATCCTGTCAAACTTGCCTCCGTTCATTAGTGATGACGTGTTACTGAAGGAGTTGTCACGTCATGGTCAGATTGTCTCAACCATGAAAATGCTTCATTCAGGTTGTAAATCAGAAAAACTGAAACATGTCGTGTCTTTCAGGAGGCAGGTGTTTATGATCTTATTAAATGATGCTGAGGAACTGAACATAGTCATGAGATTCAAAGTTGAGGGTTTTGACTATACTATCTTTGCAACAACTGAAACAATGAAATGTTTTGGATGTGGACAGGAGGGACATTTAGCGCGGACTTGTCCTGAAAAAGCTCGAAAATCAGAAGAGCCCCCCCAGACTGCTGGAGGGACAGAGACAGTCTCTGTGGACAAT